AAAATCCCATACAGCACGAAACTGTTAGACATTTAATCGAAAACTGGTTAATTGTTGCTTGCTCTAGGCCTGCTACTTTGATGATAGCTGGGGCATAAGTCATAGTCTCTCTGCCGAGAAGAGAAGAGGGCAGTTTATTGGCAGGTTATTCCTTCCTTGGCCAAGGATATTGCCAGCTTCTTTCCCCACCTACCACATGGTAGCATGGATACACTTGCTCTTAAAGAGTGTCATTAGTGAGCTGTTATTTAACATAGAAAATTTGGTTTCTTTTTCTATTTAAAAAGAGTAGGGGGACCGTCAGTCTAAATTCTTGTATATCTTCTTCGAAGCTGAAGTTGGGTTATCTTGCTCATAGTAAAAGGCAAAGGTATTCATATTCTTCTTTCCATCGTTTCATTGTCTTATGTACTAGCTAAAAGCAACACATATACTTTGTTTAAGATCTACGCTATTTAAACTCTGGCCTTCCTTGTTTTTTCCAAAGTAACAATAATAGCTCTCATTTATTAGCACTTGATATGTGCCAGGCTGTGTTTGAAAAGTCAGTTTATAGGCATTGTCTTATTTCAAGCTCTAGAACAACTTCTGAGTAGATATTTATAGGTGTAGGAAGTCAGGCACAAGGAGACTGAGGTGCTTGGAGTCGCACACCTAGTAGGTCATGCAGCCAGGATTCAAACTTATTTTAATGTCATATGCTAGAGATCTTCATGCTGTTGATAATAGAAACAACATAACTGAAGATAAAACATGTCTTAGTGATGTGTTGCTCTCAAATATGATATGCCAGTCAAACCTAGGTGGATAATGGAAACAACTGCCAGATGATTAGTTGTTCATTGCTGCTCTGTTCTTATGAGCTTAGGATGTCAGCATTTTACAGAAATTACATTGTAGTTGGAAGAGCAACACAATACGGTTTCTTTTTGAGTTTGCACCTAAACCTTGTATATTTGTGAGGTAATTCAGTACTAATGACTTAAATCTGAATTACTGTATTTTAATGAATCCTTTTTTAAAATGCATTTCAAAGCCACAAAATACTTCTTAGCAGTAATAATTTACAACTGTCAGAGCATAAGCAGTCTAATTATTATATCACTTATGAATTAATATTTTTAAGGACTTCAAAATGCTTCATTCTCTCTAACTCTTAACATCCTCCAAGATTCACTCAAGTTTCATCTCTTCCCAGGAAGCCTTCCCTCCCCCTTCTATTTTCTTCTACTTCTTTTAGGTATCCATTTGGGCATCTATAGTCAATGTATATACCTCTCGTGTCCCTCTAGCATAGCACTTTATCGCAGAAAACAGCAAGGAGTGTTGCCTGTATTTCTCCCATGTCTAGGCAGAGTTCTTAGAGTAGAGACTAGCTCTTTTAATCTCTACATCATAGTGTCAATTCGAGTTAGTACTCGAATGAGAGTATGGGGGTATAAAGTCATGTAAAAAAACATGCTCATTATCTTTAAGGATACTGAATATACAGTCCAGTGGGGAAGATTATTAAAGAAGTAAATTCCATGTGTTATCTGCCAGGATGTAGAGAGACACGTAGTGGAAAGAGCATAGGCTTTAGACTGAGCCAAACATCCTTACTTGGTTAACCTGGGGGGGTTTATCTTCATTTCTTCCTCTTGCTGTAAGTGACTTACAGATAGTCTCATTTAGTGCTCATAAACCCTACAAAGTAGGAGCTATTGCCCACGTTTTATATTTAAACTGAGTGTCAAAGGAGGGATATGAAATATTTTTCCTCGTCTTGTAGCAGAGCTATGTAGAAAATATGTTAGAAACACAGAGGAAAGAGGAATTCTGGCTGAGAACTGCTAGGAAGACATCCCTAAGGAGGTGACACTGACCTGTATGTTTAAGAGTGAATAGGGTTTAGGGAAGGAGTCATTAGCTAGAGCTGGGACAATGTTCTCTATCCTTTCGGTAGATAAGGAAATGGCAGTTATGGAGACAAAGGGCACGAAGTTGAATAGTTGCTTGGAGACTTTGTGGCAGGAATAGAAATTAAGCAATGAAATGATGAGAGATGAGATTAGAGACATTGGGGCAGATCTTGAACGAGTTTGTGCCATACCAAGGGCTTTATATTTTGATAATGTTTAACTGCTTACTTGATAAAGGCTTTTGGCAGGAATAAGTATGGTGTTCCTTTTAGAAAACCAAATGGTAACAGTATGGAGAGTATATTTAAATAGACGAAGATTAAAATGCGGGAGAGCAGTTTAGAAACAAATGTAGTGGTCCAGGTAATAGATGAATGCCTCAACTCTTGACGATAGTAGTTAGATTGAAAGGAAAGGATAAATAAGAAGGTCATCTTGAAGGTGCTTAGTGAGGGGTGATGAAGCACAATCCAGTTTGGATGGTCGATTGGATTGGAAAGAAATATTGGTTAAGCACCTTCCCTGCCAGTCACTTTACAAACAATGTTTTATTAAAGACTTAGATTATGGACCACATTGTACTTACGAAGGAAACAGCTCAGAAAGGTTAAGTGTCTTTCCCAAGATCACACTGCTTATAAATAGTGAAGCTAAGATTTAAACTTAACAACTGTTTGTCACTAAATCTTGTGCCCTTTTTGTTATACAATAATGCCATTAATTCCACAGGAAATTCAAGAGGAAAAGCAAGGTCTATATGCTTCAGTGGTTGGGGGTGGGAGGAGTGGGTTAAGATGATAATTCTGTGGCTACTCTTGCTTTTGCACCATCGGCACATATGGCGGCACAATAGAAAGGCAAATATCTTCTGAGTATTATAAAAGTAGTTTTGACCTCATAGACCCATGGAAAGGTTCCATAAACTACACTTTGTAAACCAGTGCATTAGGCTAATAGGTATCTGTTGTGGATGCTGGTCCTCTGTATCGTAGTGCCTTATAACTCTGACTGCAGGTAAAAACTCCCAGGGAGCTTTGAGAAACTATAGATGCTCAACAAGTTCAGTCCAAATTTCTGGGCATTGATTGTTTTTAAAAGTTCCAAGTGATTCTAATGAGTAGCCAGGGTTTATACTGCGTTTGACTCCATGTATTCGGAAGTTTTTCTATTTTATCCATCTTTGTCTTTTCTGATTGCATGGTCAGAGTACCTTTTTTATAACAGGATTTGCACTTTTGTCCTGCAGAATACTTTCTCTTGTCAAATCATTTATCAAGGACACACGTAAAACGTTTGTTTCTTCGTTTTTTTAAAGTCTCCTATTTATCAGAGTTATACGTACGCTTTCTCTTGTTAACACCTTTGGCATCCTTTTTGCTTTGTATTTAGATCTGATGTGTCTATAAAGTAGCTCCAAAACCACGCAGCACAAACATAGCAAATGCATTCTGGGTACCATGGCAGTAAGATGAAAATCAACACAAATGCCCGCCTCTTGCCAGTGGAGAACAGAGTTGAGGTGCTTCGACTCTGGACAGTGGCTTTACTCATAGCCACGAAAGTTCTTAATTTTAAATGGAAAGTGTGAGTAGAGAAAGTCTCTACATTTTTGAAACAGGGCTAGTGAGATCAAATGCTATTTAATCCAGCCCCCTCATTTTACAAGTGAAAGAAATTGAAGCATAGAGAAGCTGATTTATCCAAGGACAAATATGTATGCTTAGATTGTTTCATTAAGTAATTAATAAATTAATTTCAGTAAATAATCCAATTTTTTTAGTGGCCACTGGTGCTAAGAGACAGGTGATGTGTTCTTAACATTGAAACATTAAGCAATCCTGTTTTCTTGGTTTCAAATTAAACCAGGATAACTTGCATATTTGGTACAATATCAGTGCTACCTTCAGTGAGCCACAGAGGTTGAACTTAAGTGCTAATAATACCAAAAGAAGGTGTTAAATATTTCTGTATGTTAGTGGAAACCTTTTCAATCACCTGTGGTCACTTACCTTGAGCGAATGGGGTGTGTGTGTGTTTGCACATTTACGTACAGGCTTACATTTGTCCGTGCGTTTCCATGTTTTCCATTTTAAGAGATAAGTGGTACATATGAATTTACAGGTAGAAACTAGTTGGAAAATGCTGACCTGACCTAGATTCTAGATTTGTAAATAATAAAATCCTGACCCGCTTTTCCAGTGCTGTATAATTTTTATCACAGTTAAGTCAGGAATGTCATTTCTGGGTTTCCTTCCACGTCCAGAGAGGGCTAAACAACTTTAATTTTATATAAAAGCAGTAGGTATTATAAAACAGGTAAAATTGTTACTATTTGGAATTTTAAAAATTTAAATCTTTGTTATTCAATTCTTGTTTTAAAGTAAACTTCAGATAAACTGGAGGGATTAATATGTCAATAAAAATTTAATTCCCACATAGGAGGCAATCGATGCATAAAGCAAGCCCTTAATCAACAAATTGCTTAAAGAATTTGTTTGATGATCCTAAAAAATAAATAAGCTACGTGATGCTCAAGTGATCCAGGACTAATGAAAATACTGTAGGCTTAGTCAAAGTCTTTTCTGCAGATTAAGTATGGTTAGTAAGCAGTCGTTGAGCACTCTGGGCAAACCACTGTTGAGCATCTTATAATGTATATTTCTGCCACTTTTCCCCTTGTTTCTTTCTTTGCGCCTTTATACTACTTGGATCTTTTACCTTTTTTTCCCTGTGTTGCTGTGTTTTGGGTGGTTTCTTTTATGCAGAAGTATTTTTATTTATACATCTAAAAACAAAACCCTGTATTGAATTCTTCCTCTTATATCCAAACTTATTGAATATAGGTTTGACATTCAGGAATAACTCTGAAAATAAGAAATTATATCTTTATAGATAAAATAATAAAAGTTGAATCTGAAATAAATATTCCTAACTTTTCCATTTTACTTGAGAATAGAGAATGAAAAAGGTGTGTTAAGGGGCCAGCCCCGTGGCCTAGTGGTTAAGTTTGTTGCACTCCGCTTATGCAGCCCAGGTTCAGTTCCCAGGTGTGGACCCTCACCACTCATTGGTGGCCACACTGTGGCAGCAACCCACGTACAAAATTGAGGAACATTGGCACAGATGTTAGCTTGACAAATTTTCCACAGGGAAAAAAAAAAGCGTCAACATTACAGGTAATTTCATGTTTCGTCTACTATAGTGGTAGCCAAATGAAAGTCTGAATTATTTTTATTATTTCAGGTGGCATAACAAATTGTGATTTACTTAAGAATGATTATGCAGAGTAACTGACTCATCAAGTTTCTTTCTTTCTGGTTTGGATAAATCAGTACAGTAAAGTTAACTATTTGAAGCATATCAGAAGCTCACATTAGCTTATGATATTAGTGTGATGGGTCAGGACTGTGGGGGGATAATCAAAGGGCCTTTGGATAAAAGTAGTTTGAGATGTCCATTGCCATTTTTTAGAATAATGAGCATAACTGAGAGTACTGGTCAGAGGTCAAGACAGGCTGCTGTATTCCACAGCTCCAAGGTTACCATTCTGATTGTGGTTGAGATTGTGCTCCAGAGGGTGCCACAGGCAGCCCTGAGTCTAGGGAATGTTACTGGATACCTCACTATAAAAAGGAAGTGGTTACAGGTGTGGTAGACAGAATGGCCTTCCCAGCACCCACTCCCACCTCCCCCCCAAAAAGTAACACTGTGACTATATTATCTTACTTGGCCAATGGGACTTTGCATGTGTGATGAAGTTAATAATTTTGGAATGGGAAGATTATCTTGAATTGTGGGGAGAGGGGGCAATTTAATCATAAGAATCCTTGTAAGAGAGAGGCAGGAGGGTCAGTCATAGTCACAAAAGAAGTGACTGCGGAGGTCAGAGTGATGAAGGGTCACTAGCCAAGGAATGCAGGGAGCCTCTAGAAGCTGGAAAAGGGAAGAAAACAGATTCTTTCCTAGAGCCTCCAGAAGGAACGAATTGTTTTGTGTTTTAGAACTCCTTAGTTCCCATGTGAGTTATTTAATGTTTAATAGTTAGCTAAATTTATTAAACTGGATAGCATGACATTGTATAACTCCCTGACACTGTCACAGGGTGTCCTCACTGAAAATCAGGTATACCTTAAATTTGAAAATTATTTGAGATTCTAGAGTTTTCTGGCAGCCAGCTTGCCTACTAAGTCATCCAGACCTCTGAATGTCTCTTAGAAGTTAGGTGGAATCCACATACTGCCGTGTGCAAGCACCTCAAGGCTGGCTGCTCGAGAGAACTTCCTCTGAATTCCAGTTGGTGATAGAAGGAGATTTAGATACTAAGGAAATTACCTCAGGCCTTTATTTTACGCTACAACCTACGCCTTTAACATAAACTTAAGGATATTTGCTTCCTTCTGGATTTTCCAAATATCGTTGACAATTAAATAAAAATGCAAAGCAGTGTGTAGAGGTTTCTCTTGAATAGTTAATAAAATATTCAGCAGTCTGATCTATACTTTTAATAACATGCATTATTAATCTGGAATCTAAGTATGCTCTTGCATTTGTTAAAATGTTCATTTGCATTTGTTTCAAGTTCCTGTTCAGTCAGTATTTTTCAGTGGCTGCTGTGCACTGTTTTATTCAGTTGGCACTGGGGAATTGATAAGCACCTCAGTAAAATAGAGGAGAGACAGTACTGTGCAGCTAGATGGGTGCTATCATGGGCAGGTATGTGTGTGACACATACGTGTACAAAGGTCCTGACTGCTCCACGTGGAGAGTGGCCAGAGAAGACTTCGTAGAGGAGGTGACTCAAGTTGAGACCAAATGGCTGAATCAGTTCGCCAGGCAGGAAAAAACAGATGGCATGTGCAAAAACACTACCTTGAAAAAGATTTCATGGTTTAAAGGATCTGAAAAAAATTAAACATAGTCAATGAATTTTACTTGTCTTATCACCTTTTTCATCATCTTTCCCTCAAGTTTGTGATCGAATGTGCTTTTTTCTTAGCTTCCTCCCTTTCCTTTAATAACATTTTCGCATTGAAAATCCCAATTATTTTTCTACAGAACAGGAACATCTGTTTCCTTTAACCATGAGACTAAAATTGTATATCAGCGAACAACAGATGCTAAGCATTAAGAGGAATGCTTCGGTAGGCCAAGCAGCGGTCGGCTCATGTCTGTAAGTTTGCAACACTCTTGACATGAGTCTGAGTACATCTAAGAGACTTATCCACCTAAAATAATTTGTTTAAATTTTAGGGTCTATAAATGCCAGGAACAAAGTTGTATGTATCGTATATTGCATACTTGTAAATGGTTTTCATTTGTAAATGGTTTCACACACAAATATCCTTATATATACACCCCACTTCTTTAATAATAGGCATGTTTTTAAGTGCCTCTTAAACTCTTTCATTATGAAAACAATCCAAACATACAAAGGTAGAAAGAAGAGTTTAATGAAGCCTCATATGCTCAGCATTTCATCATCAACCCCACACCTCCCACCACACACACACTGGATTATTTAGAAACCAATCCCAGACATCATATCATTTAAGCATGTTTCTTTAACAAGTCATTCAGGAAAGGAAAAAGTACACATTGCAAAATCATGAATTCAGATACTCCATTAGGAAGATGATAAACCTACTTTGCAAATTTCTTTTCCAACCACTTTACTACCTGAATGCTTTGCTTAATACAGTAAGTCTGTTCATTATTCCTTGAACATGGAAATTCCTGATTCTGTGAGCATGTTTTCCATGCTTTTGTCTCTTCTGGAGCCTCTCTATTCTTGGCCCATCTAATTGTGCCCTTTCAAGGCTTAACTCAGTTCCTGCTTTCTCTTTGAACCTTTTCGTGACTTTTCTTTATGAAAACAGCATTTTTTTGTCAGCACGGCTCAGGCATCACTTACATATACTATAATGAGTTGCTATTTAGTTTTTAAAATATATGTCCTGTTTTAACTCAATTATAACTGCTCTATGCCTCAGTTGTCTTGTATAAAATAAGGGTATTAATAGCATCTACTTCAAATATATGAGGATAAATAAGATAATCCAGAACAAGCACTCAGTGAATATGTTATTGTTGTTATCTATAAACTCCTGGAGGGAAGGAATCATGCTATGTAACTTTTTTAATCCTGTGTCTAGCCTCATGCCCCAGACAGGGTAGATACTAAATACCTGTTTAGTTATGTTGGCTGGAAGGAAGTCTGTGTTTTATATTTTATGAGGTTGTTATCAAATTCTATTTATCACTGTATACATGTTCAAAATATGGCCTTTGAGAGATCATTGTGAGATACTGTATTTTCTATCTAGAATTGACCATTAGAGTTCATTCGTTGATTTATTTCAAGTGATAAAATGTATATCACTTGCTTTTACAGATGCAAAATTAAAACCCAATTCAATTAAAAATCAAGACGTATTAAACTTTACTCTTGCTATATCCATGAAGAAATGATTTGCATAGAAAAACAACTATTAAAATAATAATTACAGATCATTTTTCTTTATCTTTTTCAGACCATAAAAGTAACACTTAGAAAATTTGAAAAATCCAGAAAAGTTGAGAATTAGATTAAAAACTTTCCAGAGATAATCTCTGTATTCTCCCTTCTTCTTTGCATGAAAGTTTACGTGTTGCATGAACGTTTACATGGCTAAAGATATGCTGATTGTGAAACCTTGCATGCTGGTTTTCCTACCACTTAGCATTGTACATAAGCATTTTTTTGTCTTTTGTTAAGTATTGGTAAATATAATTTTTCAAAAATGTACTGAATAATTAGTAAGTATTATAAAATTGTATAAAGGGTTAAAAAATATGACAATTTTGACAGGACTGATTCTTTTTTTAGGATTCTGGCTATTATTTCTTTTTCTGTATGCACTTCAAAATTAGTTGTCTATTTCAAAAATAATTTGTTGGTTTTGAGCTCACTTTAAATTTATACATTAGCTTTATGATGTTGCCTTCCAATATAAGAACGTGGCATATACCGCCTCATTCTGCTTTTATGTTCTTCAGCATATTTCAAGATTTTTGTCAGCTTTGTCCTTTGATGCCAGTGTTGCATGTTTCTTGTTAAGCGTATTGCTAGATATTTTAGCTTATTTTCTATTTGCTATTATAAGTGGAGTCTTTTTTCCATTATGTCTTTCAGCTAGTTGATAGTATAATTATGAAAGCTATTGATTTAATTATTTTAATTATGTACCCAGCCACTTTACTCAGTTCTCTTATGGTCTGTAATCGTTTTCCACTAGATTATTTTGGGTTTTTCAGGTAGCATTCATCATTTGCAAGTAACAATTTTGCCTTTTTAAAAACATTTTTGTGGGGCCAGCCTGGTGGCGTAGTGGTTGAGTTTCTGCTCTCTGCTTCAGTGGCCCAGGGATCATTGGTTCAGATCCCTGGCGTGGCCCTATGCACCACTTGACAAGCCGTGCTGTGGCAGTGTCCCACATACAGATAGAGGGAGATTGGCACAGATGTTAGCTCAGGCAAATCTTCCTCAAGCAGAAAGAAGATTGGCAACAGATGTTAGCTCAGGGCCAATCTTCCTTATCAAAACAAATTTTGTAACTCTTACTCTTTGTTTAACTCCTGGCTTTCAGGAAGTGCTTCTAAGTTTACTAAATAAATATTGCTGGCTACTGTGTGAGATTGATGTATTTTATCTACCCATATATAATGGAAATGTTACTCTTTATTATATTTTATGTAGTATTCCTGCACTTTTAAAGGTTGTTTTGGGGGTTTTTTGTTTTGTTATTTTATTCAACCATCCCTTATTGAGCTCCTACTGTGTGGCAGGCACATAGTCAGGTGCTGGAGATTCAGAGTCTGAGAAGACATTGTCCACTCTTCAGGGATAAGTATTATAATAAATGGATAGCAGTTTGCTGTGGAAACAGAAAGGAGAGTTCTATATGAAGTAGGAGAGGGGAGGCAGATGAGCCCAAGGAGACTTCCTGGAAAAGATGATCCTTGAGCTGAACTTTGAATGAAGTAAGATGACCTCCATTTTACTTTGACTGGAAACCTATGATTTCCTATGATTCCTGTGTTAAATGTTTTGAATAACTTTTAAAGAATCAGCAGTGAATGAGCAAGTACTTTTCTTTCACCAAAACCTGATCGCCTAATTTTAGTCAATGCATGGAACATGATTGCTTAAATTTAAAACATTCTTATCCTAAAAGAATTTCAGAATTGAAAGAAACTTTAGCCAACATTTAGTCTATCTCCCCACTCTTCTTCCAGTTTTACAGATGTGAAACAGAGACTTAGAGAGGCTAATTGGTCAACTGAAGTCATACAGCCAGCTACTGGCAGAGCTTGGAGAGTCCGTGTCCTGCCTCATAGTCGGGGCTCCTAGGACATCTGTGTTAATTACGTATTGATTCAGCTTTGCTGAGCTATTTTGGATTCATATTCTTTTTGTTAACGTTTTCAAGTTCTTGGATTTAGAATTTTTGTTGCACCTTCTGCGTTCCTTAGCCCAAAGAATGGAGAAGAAATTACACTCTTGCAGCACCTCAAGATTTTGGTTTTTAACTGTTCTCAAACATGTTATTCTGTTTGCCTTTTTGAAGAAAAAAGTATGATTCTTAACATAGAATTGTCTGGCATTTTACCTATGCAATTTTTCTTGTGATATTAACTTTTATTTTTCTCTTTTTAGTCTGCCATTTTCAATTTTCAGAGTCTGTTGACTGTAATCTTGCTGCTTATATGTACCTGTGCTTATATCCGATCCTTGGCGCCCAGCCTCCTGGACAGGAATAAAACTGGGTATGTTACTAATGATGTCTAATCACCCAAATTAGTTTGTAACTTACGTTATTTCCTCCCTTTGTTTTTTAAAATCCAAAAACTTTGTATTTACAGAATCTCACTAAATAAGATAAGTATCAGAAGTGACCTGAAATGTTTTGGACTGAAGAAAAATATATTTAAAAAGATATGACAGATTTTTTTTTTCTGGGACTAGAGATACAATTTAGTACTTTCAAAGGCAGTATTTGGCCTTACTTTGTATAGAATAATTAGTAAAGTTGGTTATCATATTTTGAAAGTATTAAACAGTTTGCAGGTGCTGTGTCCATAAAAATAATGTAGACATTCCCTCTCCAGTCCAAGATTGCGCTAATCATATAGGCTCCCTGTCTGTATCAGACCGCAAACATCTTTGGAGAAGTTTATTTAGCTTACTTAAAACAGTAATAAAGAAGCCAGCCCCACGGCCTAGTGGTTCAGTTCGCACACTCTGCTTCAGTGGCCCAGGTTTTCGCCAGTTCGCATCCTGGGTGTGGACATGGCATTACTCATCAGGCCATTCTGAGGTGGCATCCCAAATAGCACAACCAGAGGCACTCACAACTAAAATATACAACTATGTACTGTGGGGCTTTGTAGGGGAGAAGAAGAAGAAGAAAAGAAAAGACAAGATTGGCAACAGTTGTTAGCTCAGGTGCCAATGTTAAAAAAAAAAATTAAGTCTTGGATATGTCATATTCCTTTTAATTATACATTCATACCCTGGAAAGATTTAAGCTTAATATACCACCACAAAGAATTAAAATTTTAAAGTGCCGTGTTCCTAATACAAAAATACATGTTGAATTCAACAAAAAAGAAGAATACATATAAAAAAACAGAGACTGTGGTAAAAACTATGTCAACTTTCTTTGCCTATTTATTTATTTATTTGTGAATTAATATTTATTAATTTGTATGAATAATTGTCCTAATCCTTTCTTGATGAGAGCCTGTACCTCACTTAATGATTTTGCGAAATAAAAGGATGAAATAGAATACTTTTCATAGGAATAATAATCATCTCCAGCACCTTTTTTTGTTTTTAATGGAAAGAAAAGGGTCAAATTAGGGTCCTGCAAGGTCAGACTCTGCTTTTCCACTAATAAAAAGCCCTTACAAGAAGCCAGGTTGTAGATATCCAGCTATGAGAGTAATAATTTCTGCTTCTCTTTCCTTCAACTCCATTTATCATAGTTAGCATTTATTCAAACATCTCATTATCTAAATCATTTAGCTTTTGTTACTATTCCTTTTATTTCCTTTTGTTACCAATTATTTGAACATGTATAAAGGAATAAGTAGAACCTCTAACTAGTTTTGAATATTGAAAATCAGTAACCCTGTTTCAGTAAACTGATAATCTGTCTCTATTAACCTAAAGGATTTTATTTAACCTACTGAAGGTGAAAACAGATGTGACTTGTCCTTCAGTTTTCTGACACTGCACCACTTCCCTTGTAGACACTGCCTTCCTCGTCATTTCACCTTTTTCTCTGAACTCCTGTTGCACTTAGTCTTCAGCACTCAATTTAATACTTTGTCTGTTTGTTAAATTATATAATCTTATTTGTGGCTTAGTTGTGCATGAAGCTTTTCTACCCAAGCAAATGGTTTTATTTCTTCCATCCCTTCCTCTGCAACCCCCAACTGTTAACTTACAGTTAAAGCATAAGATAGAAACCAGTAAATATTCTCATTAATCAGTTGCTTGGAATTCTAATATAATACATAAACTTCTATCTAAGAAGATAAGTGTTTATTTCATTAAAGAATAATCACATAGTCGTAGAATAGAATATTTGTACTTTTCTGATGCTGTTATGAAGAAAATAGGTTGCATGTGGAAATGTCTGCTCCTCATTCCTTTGGGGGCAGGAACACATCCGTATCATGCTACAGTAAAAAAGGAGTTCTCAGGGCTGCCAACCTTACAGTAGAGGTTGAGTAGTAGTATATTTCTCCTACATAAGGGACCGAAGAAATAGCATGCCTATTTTTATATTTTAAAGTATATACTGATACAGTTAATTGTTTGAAAGCTTTTTTAAGACTTTATTTCTATCTATAGAAATGTTTAGCCAATTTTATTTTGACTTGTCCATAAATATTTTCTGCAGAAGAAATTTTTATAGGCCATTGTTCTTTTCTGTCATAATACATATTTTTATGAGACTCATAATAAACTTTTCTTTCATTATAGTGAGTATTTCATGCTTAAGTGGAGATGTCTAGACTAATTGAATAAAACAAGTTTTTGATGACTTCACTGTTGAAAATAACTTAATTTTTTGCTGCTTCAAATAATATAGAACTAAGAAAAAGATTGCTACTTTGTCTTGTTTCCTATTTTCATAGACCTGATAGCTTTATCAGCAAGTATACTTAGTGCCTTATAGCCAGAGAACTAAGCAGCATAATTGTGTTGGTTTTTGCCAACTAATAAAGTTCCTGTGTTTTAATAAATAGCATTTGGGATATTACAGAAATATGTCAAAGGAAATATGTGAAAAAGGCCAAAGTGGTACTGATAAATCTCTAAGTTGCCAAGCTAGGAAATTTTTATTTTATTTTATTTTTATTTTTATTTATTTATTTATTTATTTGAGGAAGATTAGCCCTGAGCTAACTGCTGCCAATCCTCCTCTTTTTGCTGAGGAAGACTGGCCCTGAGCTAACATCCGTGTCCATTTTCCTCCACTTTATATATGGGACGCCTACCACAGCATAGCTTGATGAGCGGTGCCATGTCTGCATCCAGGATCTGAACTGGCGAACCCTGGGCCGCCAAAGCAGAACGTGCACACTTAACGGCTGCACCACCCGGCAGGCCCCGGAAATTTTTTTTGTTTAAATAGCTTTCAATATACTATGTTCTACCAATTTCCCAGTGATACTTTGAGTTATTTCTAGAATATCAGGCCTGAAAAGACCTTGACTGTCATCATATGGTTTCAGACTATGTTCTGTGGGGCTCTAAAGCTTCCCATTGAGGAGTTTCAGGTGTCCTGTCTCTGAGTCCCTCAATTGGAGTAGCTTTAAATCAGTAGTGCATGTTATAATCAATATGTTTTTAGAATCAAGGAACCATGGCATTGCAGATCACTAACCAGTGTCTTCCATATTTTGATAAAATGTAAGCGGATTTTAAGTGACATCTGGAGTTATTGTACATGTGCCTTTAACCTACATATTACTGAATACAGCGCATTAATCACTAGTCTGAAGACTGTCTGTAATAACTCACTTAATCGTTACAACAGCGCTATGAGTATGAGTGCTTGTAAAGAGAAAATAACTTGCTCACAGTTACGCAGCCAATTAAGTAGGACTGAATTTAGGCACGGTCTGGCCCTTATATTATCCTACGTTGCTTTCAGGAGTATAGATGGTTTTTGTCCTTTTATTCTTTTTTTTAAAGATTTTATTTTTTTCCTTTTTCTCCCCAAAGCTCCCCAGTACATAGTTGTATATTCTTTGTTGTGGGTCCTTCTAGTTGTGGCATGTGGGACACTGCCTCAGCGTGGTTTGATGAGCAGTGCCATATCAGTGCCCAGGATTCGAACCAAGAGCACAGTGGGCCTCCTGCAGCGGAGCGTGCGAACTTAACCACTTGGCCACGGGGCCAGCCCCAATGTCCTTTTATTCTTATAGTAAAATCATTTCATCTGTCAGAATGTCCATCTTTTAAAATAAACCTGTGTTTTTGCCCATTTTATTTAATCTGAACTAAGGGACTTTGTGCTTTGAGGTCAGGAAGTTATACATCAGAGGAGGAACATATATAGAACTTAATTGACCCAGTATTTTATTTCAGTCTTAACCATTCAAATATAATGATTCATTAGCCATCTTTTTGAGCAAAAAAAATGTAGTATAAATTTCCCTAGAATTTAAGTATTATGATTTTGCTATGCCAGTCCTAACTTACTGCAGTAGGCAATGTTAATTTATCTTGATTTGTAACCATGGGTAACACCGTTTATAATTCTTTTCTTTTGTTAGACCAACAAAATAGCTGTCTATAGTTTTTTTTTCAGATACCTCTAATCATTGATTGGCTCAGTTGGGTTTTTGTTTAAAAGCTGGTTACTTTTTTTTTTTTCCTTTTTCTCCCCAAAGCCCCCCGGTACATAATTGTGTATTCTTCGTTGTGGGTTCCTCCAGCTGTGGCATGTGGGACGCTGCCTCAGCGTGGCCTGATGAGCAGTGCCATGTCCGCGCCCAGGACTCGAACCAACGAAACACTGGGCCGCCTGCAGCGGAGCGCGCGAACTTAACCACTCGGCCACGGGGCCAGCCCCATAAAAAAAAGCTGGTTACTTTTTATACATGCCAAATAAGTGATAGTATCCATATAATATATATTTAATTCATAATATATCCATTCATAAAATTGAAATCTATATCTTCCGTCTAATTCTTATTTCCAGAATATATGTGTTTTAAATGCTGTATTTGATTAACTCATACAATGTCCTAAACTAGAGTTTTCTACTTACATTGAAAACATACATACATATTTTTGTTTTCCTGCTTATTGAATGACATAGTTATGTAAATGCTATCATTGGAGTTTTTGATTATAGGTCATTTAATATAGAGCTACATTCTATGAGTAAGGTTTTTTAGTATGAATTTTATTTTTTAATATAAAAATTCATCTCAAACCAACTGTGTTCATTTACCATTTCCTCAAAATTAATGTTTATTTAAATTGGCATATGTGTTTTCTGCTTTTGAACGTAAAGCACTTGAAGTTGACTGTTAATCCTACAAACGCTTGTACAAATTTTTGCCACTCTCACATTAATTTACCCTGAGTTTAACCTATGACATCAAATATATTCCAATTTGTTGATTTTGATGGTTGATCAACTATTTTATTCTACTTTTCTACATAAATGGTGGTTTGACAGCAAACAAATTTCAGTTTTGAAGCAAAGCATCCGAAGTTAAAATGCTAGTATATGATGAATTGTCTACGTGATACTAGGAAAATGATTTACCTTTCCGTAATCAATAGCTACTTTTTTCTTTTTTATTCTCTGTAGGTTGTTGGGTATATTTTGGAAGTGCGCCAGAATTGGTAAGTATCTGTCTATGATCTCCCTCCACTTATTCAGCTCTAACTTGCTGGCCACTTTACTTACGTCATATTCACACATATCAAATATCAGTTTTAAAAATGCAGGCTCCCCAATTTTGTGCATTTTTGCAAAATTTTGTAGCATTCCAGCAAACTCTTTTCCTTATGCTATTTAAACCTAGACTTGTTTGATACGTCATAATACTTCATTAGCAGTGAGATGGAAAATATAAGAAAAATCTCTGTAATTCAGATATCAAGTACTATCCATTTCTGGTTTTGAGGAGATTTCAGACAAATGTGTCTAGTTTTATGCACACACATGCTTATAGTATAGAGCATGCTGTGTGTGCTATTTTGATAACTGAGAATGAATTCCTATCTAATGGAAGGCCTGCTAAGCAACTAACTAAGCAGTCATTTTGTTGCCCTATGCTAAATCATAGAATCTTATTTGTTGCTTTTAAAAAACATTAACTGTTTTTGTCTGTTGAAACCATGTGGTCACAGCTGAGCTTTATTCTGACTGATTAAAGTTAAGGTAGATGTGGTTATCTTCTAACTTTTCATAATAAGATGAGCAGCATCTTAAGTATGTTTATATTTAGGTAATACCACTCTTGTCCCATCGCCCTGGGGCCCGTCCAGTGGCATAATGGTTAGTTAAGTTTGTGTGCTCCACTTCGGCGGTCCAGGCTTCACAGGTTCAGATCCCAGGCATGGTCCTGCACACCACTCATCAAGCCATGCTATGGTGGTGTCCCACATACAAAATAAAGGAAGATTGGCACAGATCTTAGCCCAGTGACAATCTTCCTCACCAAAACTGGATAAGTAAAATAATACTCTTGTCCCATTCCCCTATGTATACAACATTTAACACAGTGCCTAGCACATAGTAGACTCTCGAATGCTTGGTAAGTGAATGAATTAAAATGGATTTTATTCCTATAATTCACCAATATTCTTGAATAATAGATTATGGTTGTACACCACAAAATGATGTTTCCGGTCAAACAATGGATCACATGTACAGTGGTGGTCCCATATAACCCAGGTGTGTAGCAGGCTAGTGTGTATACCACTAGGTTTGTATAAGTACACGCTACAATGTTTATACAACAACAAAATTGCCTAATGGTACATTTGTCAGAACATATCCCCATTGTTAAGCAATACGTGACTGTATACCCTTTTTAACATGCGAAGTTTCAAAAAACACTTCAGGGCATTTGTTCTTATATACGTGGATTGAAAATGAATATTTCTTGTCCTCTTTGGAATTTACATGACCCCCTCAAAAATTGTTTAACTTTAGTACTAAAGTCAATTTATTAAATTATAAATGTATAATTTATAAATTTAATGAATTATTAAATTTAATAATTTAAATTTATACATAAGTACTTTTTTCTTTCATAAAGCTGTCAGGTTTCATAATGAAAATATTTTTTCCCTGTTTGGCGTTTAGTCTAGTTAGCCAGTCTGACGACAGCCTGAGTTCCCCAAACTAATCTCTTTAAATAGGATGGGGAATTTAAGAGTCATCTCCCTTAGATAAGCTGCGTTCCTTTTAGAGTATGATGCTTTATTTTGGTTTTCACTTCTCAGAGATGTGGAACATTTTAGAAGATGGTCCATAACAAGAAACAAAATTGATTAAAGATTGAAAAATACACTAAGTTCTTGTAATATTTAGAAATTTTTCAAAGAAGACCTGAGAATTGATATATTACATCTGAAGATACTTATAGGCATAATCTAGTCTCAGCTAAGGACTAAAAATTAGTTGTACAGGTTTCAAATTCTTTAAAGCATCTTCTAAGATTCATGTATTGTTAGCCATTGAAATAATTTTGAGAGAGCAAATTTTCTTCCCTTAAGCTTTTAATGATAGACCCATTATCAGTGGAAGTTGTAAGCATAGTACTAAATTACATAGAAGTCCTTGTTAAGTCGCTTATGATGACATTATAAAATTCCTTGGCCTCTTGGGTTTCTTGCCATAGAAAATGATAGTATAAGCATAAAGAGCTTCACAGAAAAGTGCTTCTTTCAAGGCCCTCGTTCTAATATGTTGACTGTTGAAAACAGACGTCTTTCAGAGATGAAGAAATTCAGCGTGCTTTTAACATGATAAAGTGTCCTTCCTCAGTGTTCTTAGTCATACTTTATTATCTCTTACGGTGATAGGCATGAGAATGTTTCTTTTGTGAGAAATATTATTTACCTTAGATTGGTAAAGCACAGATAGAGCCTAAATAAATGGTTATCAATCTGGGGACATTTACAATGTCTGGGTTCATTTTTGGTTGTCACAGCTAGAGTCGGGACATATGGGTATAGGTCAGGGATGTTGCTAAACATCCCACAGTGCACAAGACAGCCCCTCACAACAGAATTAGCCCAAATTGTCAATAGTGCTGCAGTTGAGAGGGCCCAGCCTAGATTTATAGAGGTTTGTGGTACAGACTTATCTGGCATGCAGTCATGCTCAACAGTTGCACATCCTGAAATAACAGAAGAAATCGTAAGCACTTCAAACTAACCGAGAAGAGAGAGAAACAAAATAGCACCATCAATGGCCAATGCTGATAGTTTGTGGTAAATGGAAATATATGTAAACTAAACTGCTTGCTTCAGAGCCAAGTCACCCAGAAAAAGAAAGAATATTGTCAAGGAACAGAGTTGTAAGAGTACCTCCAGAAAACTGCAAAGAGAGCACGTAATGGAAGAGCAAGAGAGTTTGGGAGAATAGAGAGAACATCACTGTATTAGCATAATACTAAATATTCATTAGTAAAAATAGAAAAGGTCTGGAGTTAGGAGGCTGAGCTTTCATCTCAGTATTAAGTCACTAACTCATAAATAAAATATTAAGATATCTTAAGTCCATTCTACGTAATAAATTAGAATAGTATGCACACCTCCATTCAGTAGCCAACCCAGGTGACCCTTCTGTTCATAAATATTATTTGAAAGTATAGCTAAAAGTTTAAGACATCTAGATTGTAGCTTTCTTAATTATTTACTGTAGTATCAGCTGTTTCTATGTCTAATTGTAAACCATCTTTTCTTTTTTTCTTGTTCATTTATTATTGCCATTTTCCTCTCTTATCTGTATGAATGCCATAGATTAAATGGTTCAGTTAAAGTATTCATTCTTGCCAATTATGTGAAAGCATTAGCTTTTCATTTTGGCAAAGTGGCTTAGAAAATGTTGATGCTGATATGCTGCTTTGTCAACCACAAGCTCCTCTCTTATCTTGACACAATACATCCACAAGGAAAGGATGCAGTTTTAGTGGGAAAGGGCCTGGCGAAGTCATCTTATCACGTTACACATCACATTACAGCAACTGTTTCACATTCACTTATACAGAACTAAGACTAGACAAGAAGTAACATTCTTACCCAAGTTCACCAAGATGTTTACCTCTGCCGCATGGCAATCTCTTTCAAGAAAATTAAAAACAGGAAAATGAAACCCATATGTAAATTATAGCATTCTAAGTTAGAGGAAGAGGAAGAGAAGAACTTCCCCAAAAATTGATTTCCAGCAGATAGAAAATTTAGGACAATATTAATTTCTTCTTTTAGGTATTTAATGAGACTATATTAGACAGTGGGAATATCTAACCCTAATAAGATGACAGTCCTGCTTATGAAATCTACCTGAAATTTGTCTGAATGAGTTTTTTTGTTTTGCTTGGTAACTTGGGTTTTTTGCCCGCAAAACAATTAGCATTGCTTACAAGTGATGATCCAAGGTATTTTTTAGTTTTAAAAGATTTTTTTTTTTTTTCCAGTTAAGATAGTGGTATTCTGAGAACACTCTTCTCTCACTTTCTAGATTTTCCCTTAGCTGAAAGGCAGTCCATTTAAATGTCTATGGATAAAAAATACCAAATGTTTATTTTATTTATATGTGTCATATTTTCTATGAATATTGTCATTGAGCAGACAAAAGATATAAATTTATGAACAGTGCGACTGAGCTCAATGAGGAAGCTCTGAAGATGACAATGACCTTGAAGATTTTCATTGGTAAGGGTGGTGAAGATTGCCATTTTCCAAAGGTAGTTAACTTGCTAAGTGAAACATGGAACTTAGTTACTGGGAAAGAGCTGATTTTAAATATCGTAGAAAAACACAAGTGAGGGGAGTATAAACTATCTCTACGAGAGGACACCAGGTGCACACTCAGGATTCTCTCCAGAAGTAGCCCGTCACTCTTTCTTCTTCCTTCTTTCTTTCTTATGTGCCCTCAAGGGAACATATAGATGCCTGGTGCTTTGTGGAATTGTACAGCTTTGTGATTACTGAAGAAACAAGAAAGAACAAAGGAATTTGAATTAACTCAAAATCACAGCATCTCTAACTCTTTGCAAGACAATTTCACAAGCCAACTTCAGGGCTTCCTGCAAAGGACAGTCTTCATGTATAAACACTTCTTAAACACATGTGAAATTGACTCATACAGAAGTGGTTGTTTTAAGTTCTACATTTCTAACCCAGAGTAATCATATTATAAAAGATGTGATATGAAATCCATCTCAGAAAGTTTTTCCTAATATGTTTTTATTAAGCATTTTATTTTATATACATTTTCAAAATGTAGTTTTATTGATCAGCCTCTGTTCATTTTTCATCCACAAGTGCTTTCTTTTGTTCCTCCTTTAAAAAATGTCATGAGTTGCTACCAGTGAGGGAAAAAATTATGGCTAAAACGTGTATGTTAAATTTCTTTTTTTAGGTGGAAATTTTCCTTTTATACAGGAAAAAATAAGCAGTATTTCTTTGGCCTTAATTGAGTTGTTCTTGATTGTTTCTCTTGGATTTCTATCCTACATTCTGCATTGTATTTTTTAATACTGGTTTTACCCAGTGGCATGGGAATGGCACATTAAGAGTTTTCTAAACACATGATAAAGAAATGTCTTAGAAATAAGTCTGTATAGTTTAGCTCTTTCTATATTGTACTTGCTTTTATATTGCATCTAGTTCTTGTTTTGCCTGCCACCCTCCCCCATCAAATGTGTGGGCCTCAGAGGCAAGAACTTTATCTAGATTCCTATGTACACCTCTCCCATAGTAATAATCATATCATATCCATGTTAGCCACTCAGTTAATCAACATGAATGTCTCCCTTTTTTTCAACAGGCGAACGGAAGAGTCCCTATGTTGCAATATGCTGTATAGTGATGGCCTTCAGCATCCTGTTCATACAGTAGCTTGGAAAAATGCCAGAATTTGTCATCAGATTTCAATATGAAAAAAGGACTTATCTGCAGAAAATAGTGGAAAGAATGGTTAACCTTTTTATCTCTGAACATTGAATGAGATAAATTTCCAGCTGCTGTTCTCTATTTTTGTTATTGGACCAATGTTCTATATAAATAATTAGGATGCAACCATTTAATACTCAGAGTTTGATATGTCTGTAACAATCAGCCTCACTCCTGTCACTACAATATTACATTTGCAAACATCATTCTGTTGTGTCAGATACCAGTTTTTAGTGAGGTATCTCTAAGGTACATAGAAAACAAAATTGGTAAATTACTCAAGTTACTTTCACTGTGATTTGGAAATGGTATATCTTTATAGAATGAGGCCTTTTTTAGACTAGCTTTTTTATTGAAAAAAGAAAGGTTCAATTTGTGTTGGTAAGGATTGCATTCATATTTAATAATGCTTGCTTTTCCTCTGGCCACACCGTTTTGAGCATTAACCAGAGTACCTCTACTCTTAGCAAACTGTAGCTTATTACAGTGTTTAAACTATTTAAAACAAGCCTATGCAGTTCTTAAGGAGGAAGATAAATGAGAAGTGATTTAAGAGTAGTATTGCTAAAATGTTCATATTTAACATAGAAAAGTTTAGAATAGCTGACTGGCTTAGAAGCCTCTGCAGCCTCTCTGGTTAAGTATGGATAAATGTCTTGAGCATAAATTTGACCAGCTAACTGTCATTCTCTAAACAAGACTGCATTCTTAGAATGAAAAGAGCAAAACAGAACACTTACAGAATGATAATCCTATATATGTTTTTCTTTTTTTATTTTTAGTGTTAGGTCTCCACTTATTTTAATTGCTCCAAAATGCAAACTGTATTTTTTGTTGTTTTTTAATACAGCACTTTAAATCTAGTTTATGTTTTGTCTGTCAACTTGAACTGGAATCTCTTGTGTAACTTAGTAGGTTATGATAAACAGTTTTTAAATCTACTTATCCATATATCATGGCGTATGTGTCTTTGAGCTTTGTTAATAAAGGAGAAACTTCAGTAGTTTTCGTTGAGGCAAGAGGACCATTGGGAATGTGACTTACAAATCTTGCAGTAGAGCCGTTGTTTTAAGTTTATGGTTAACATTTCTTAAGTTCAACTGAAATTGAGTTAAAATTTCAAAGCTAAAAGGAACTTACGTATCTTAGCTAAAAATTGCCCGTTATGGATGGCATTAATTAAATATTGTTTTCAGCTATTAATTCCCCATAAAGGTAAAAAGGAATCCTTTATTCTTTTTCTTTTAAGAAAAGAAAATTCTTTATCATTATTTTAAAATGAGTCTGCCAGTAGCTCTTTCTGCAGAAACAAAGTATGGAACTGAAAGCCACCTATTTTTAAAGACCACATTAAACTACGTGGGAAGAATTCTAGGAAATATCTAAAAAAAATTTTTATGTGTTGCTTGCTTTTTTTTACAAAAGGTAAAAGTTGCTGCCCACTGTCAGTATCTGTTTATTTTACATTTTTGGCATATCTATAGCTGGTTAAAAGTGGTATATTTCGCTTTAGACAAGGAATCAGGTTATGATAATTCCTACCCTGACCTGTCTCTTGGGCTTTGCATTAGGTCAATGATTTTCAGGGTATCCCAAAAATAGGCCTCTCTTATAAGCATATACGTGCAAGTAAGTCACCTTTCTGGGTCTAGTTTCTGAGTGGCCATCTGTTGTCTAACTCTGCTGCCAACTAGATTTTTCCAAAAGCTGTGTCAACTAAATTTTTATATGCTGATACAAATCTAATATAACAAAGGAAGAATATTCTACACAATCAGTTCTAAAACATTTCTTTAATTTGACATTTCAGAGGCAGTAGGTGGAAAGTGGAGGAAGAATTAATTTCTTTGGAAACTTTGTGGTAACAAAAATTTTTACTCTGTGTAGATACTGAACAGAGTGGGAGGCAGCTTATTTCTGACCCAAGACATTCTGACCTTTTGAAACACAAGCTCTTTGGGAGGTGGGAGAAAGACACAGGATTCTATGAAGAAAAGCAGTTAGCATTTTCTTTACTGTATTTTTTTCAAAGACCTACCACTGAATCCTGTTCTCTAACTCAAAGGCAGCGTAGGTAGGTTTAAGCCCGTGGAATATTCAGAGATTTTTTTGTGGTCTTGCTGGGGTGGTAGGATGCAGACGAGGATTAAAGATCAATTTAAGCCTCGGATGAACCACCTCTGTCACTCAGACTTTGCAGCACTGGATGGGATGATGGGCACTGAAGTCCACATCTTACTAGATTCAAATACTCTTCCTAACCCCCTTCCTGGCTCCAGAATCTTGATTCTGTCTCTCTGGAGTTTGTTTTGTGCTGATGTTTAGTTCCTGATTGGCCTCAGCTGTGTCTGTGACAGGAGCATGTCTTGTTTCCAGGCAGTCTTAAAACGTGGTCAATCAAAAGGCCACATGGTCAGTTAAATTCCTTCTGTGGCTTAAAAAAGTTTGGATGCAAGTCCAATGTCTTGTTATTGCCTGTGCTGCTGTGCCAGGCAATATCCTGAATGTTCTTACATGTTCAAATTCAAAATAGCCCTTTCATGCTGGGGATAATAATAATATATAATTTGTAATAGATTCCTTCATCTTAGTAATGCCCAGATCAGTCTAGTTTTATCTTATAAGACAAAATAGAGGTTTGAATGAGGTAACTTCAAGTTTACAAAGTCTCTGCCTGGTTTTGTGAAAAAGACCTAGCCCTTGTAAATAGAATATGTGTATTTCACCATTCTTTCAAGAAGCATTTATATGTGTATTTGGTATATTATCCCTGAAGATGGACACAAGTACAGTTTCTTCCCTCTAGTCGTTCATAATGTAGGAGGTGAGAGAGAGATGAAGTTATTTATACAAAGTGCAATGTGATAGCATTTATTATTAAGATAATGCTAGGATTCTAGAGGAAAATAAAAGAAGGCCAACTCAGATATGAACTTCCTTCTAGAGGAGCATGCTTCAGTTGAATTTAAGAGCAATATGCAAAAGCACCAGTGGTACATTATGGACCATAAATACCTAGCTTGTGCCAATTGGGGAACATTAAGACAAGCCTAGACAGATGGACAGAAGTTAGATCCTAGAGGGTCTGTATTTTTCTCATTACTGTCTATTACCTACCTCAAAATTGAAATTGAATATATGTTCTCTCCTGCCTGACAAAAAACTTCAAGAAAAAAATAAAGTCCTCCCTTGGCGTATGTGTAAACATGGTTAAATATATCCATGCCAACCTGAATTTGGACCAGGAATAAAATAGTGTACTCTCCAGACTCACCTGCGTAGCATATAAAGCTGAGGTAACTGACCAGTCAGGTCAAGTGTTTTTAGGAACTCTTAGTAGCTCACACTGTATCAATGCCAGAAGCAGCCACGGTTGTTGAAGCACATGTGTATCTGCACAAGAAGTAGAGGTGGTTGCATTGTCTACATTTCCGATTGCTCAGAAAAGATTTCCAGTGAGCAAGGACTTGTGCTCTTTTCAAAGCCTTTGAGAAGTTACTGGATCATAGGAAGCAGAAAACAAGAGTGGAAGATTCTTGGGGACTGCTCCTCACTTTCTTGGTATCCAGTAACAGTAGATGTTCAAACTGTAAGTAGGTGAGTAATAGCATTGTGAGCGCTGCACAACCTTGTTGCTCTCGATCAGCAAGTTACTGCGAGTTATGCAGCTTCCAAAAATAGCTTCGTAATTATGTCATTTATACACTGCCTGCCATGGTGTCTTTTACTTTGCCCTAAACTAATCCCAAAATAATAATCTGAAATGCCGCTCCAGTATCAGAAAAGGGGAGGGAGGGGTGGGAGTATGTTTCCTGTGATTATAAGAGTACAGAAAACCTTCCTCTGCCTAGTGCACATGTCTGTAGTGTGTAATAAAAATTAAAATTAACTCTCAAGAGCCTCCTAGTTTTGTCTTAATGTCAGATGAGTGAAAGCCTTTTTTTTAAGGGTTAAAAATTGAAATTGCCACCTTTTGAGTAAGACGAGAATGGAGAAATATTTCTATTTGTTTTGCCTATATTTTAATTTTCATGGCTGGTCAAGATTAGTTTTGGGGAGTTTGTATCTTGTTTTGCCTTTTTTTTTTTTTTTTTTTTTTTTTAGGGAGATTGGCTCTGAGCTAACATCTGTACCAGTCTTACTCTCTTCTATGTGGAACACTGCCACAATGTGGCTTGATGAGCGGTTTGTAGGTCCGTGCCTGGGATCCAAACCTGCAAACCCCAGGCTGCCAAAGCAGAGCCTGTGAACTTAACCACTGCACCACTGGGCCAGCCCCTGCTTTGCATCTTAAAGCTGTTCAGTATATTACATTGCTGTTTCTTGGAGCAAGCCTTCAAGAGCCTAAATGACTTGCTTTACATAGGTCATTAATTCACTCAGAACCGGTTGACATCTGATTCTGAATGAAAGTAACAGTTAATAATTGTTGATAATTAATTTCAACCTCGTCCTCAACTGAGGGCCTTCAGATGCCCAAATATTCTGGCAAGTAGTTATCATTTTCTCTCCAAAGTCTGTGAGCACTGCCCATCAGTCAGATTACTCAGCCAGCGTAGACCGTTTCTGGAGAACTAGGAGGAAGCACGCTTGTGCTGCGGGCCTTGCTTTGGTAGCGTGGCCTTTCTACCCTTATCTTTTCAGCAGCGAATTAACACAGCAAACCTGTGTTTGACCGCTTTCTAGAAAGAATTTGCATAACCAAATGAATTGCACCAATTATATTTTCAGTTGAGTGAACTCAAAAAGTACTTCAGATACGAATTTAAAAGTATCTGTTTAAATGTTGTTTCCTTTGATGTATCTTGTAAAACTCCCTCACTGCTCCATTGTAACTACCAGTTAATGTGAGACTTGATAGAGAAAATCACTAACTTTCTGATTTCTAACTCAAAAGAATTCTTAATGGGTTTGCTTGAGACCACTGAATTTAACAGTAGGAAAGCTAACTCTGTTTTCAATTCAGAGGGTTCGCGTTAATATTCTTAAGCATACCAGATAAGACTGGGCGTAAAAAGAAACATAAATAATTGAAAATAAGGGTAAGTCAGTTTACACACACTGTGGGGGATGAGAGCACTCAGGACCTGCAAAATACCCAGATGCCACTGCTGATTGAGCTTTATTTGGCAAGAGAGGTGACCTAGAAGCAAATGTGTAGTGATTGAGAGTTTGTACCCAAATTGCCAAAATGTAATTTTTCAGTCACTTCAACATTTTTGATCAAGTACTATGTCTAGGCTAAATGCTGGAAAAATAATGTGCAAAGATATTGAACTGTTTAAATAGAAATAAGGAAATGTTGAAGACATGAAGGATTTTAAGAAGGCCAGCATCAAGGAGGAAATATCTGTAGTATTAAGTGTGAAAGAAAAGTGATCTGCAGGCTCAGGTATCACCCAAAGATTTGACCTTGAGAATTAAAAGCTATGAAGATAATGAGAATACTCTTTCAATAACGTTTTGTTGGAGCACCTGACAAACAGCATACAGTATTTTCCTTTGATTTATTTATTTAATATTGTTTACTCTTTGCTTACTTTTACCTAATGTTATTCACAAATGGAACTGCTATTAAATCTTGGAAAATGATGAGAGTACTTGTAAAATATATTTAAGAAGTTTACAATATGAAATTAAGAGAGCTATAGAACACGAAATGTAGGGTTGGATGAATTTTGTGAAAATTAAGTTTTAATGAGTAATCTGCCTCATCCACATCTCTGTTTATGGGTCGCTGTCCTTAGCTCTAAGTGAATTAAAGCCAAAATAACATATAGTGACATAGTTCTAAACCCATAATGTGAAATTGCATTCTTACTCTGGCAACTCCAATACTAGTTGAGTTGTTTTTAAGTATGACCATCTCAAGCATCTTTTCAAAGAAGTTCAATTGAATCTGTTAACACTTAGAAATTGGACGTAGAAAACTAGTAAGATGGTTCCTGAATCCCTAGGCAATTAGATTGACCTGCCACGAAGAATAGAAATAGGGGTAGAACTCAGGATAATCTTTATG